AGGACTGAACTCGAAAGGAGCAAGCTTCCACAGGCGCCTCCCAAGATCGGGCGTCTTGGGAAGTGTTTCTGTAGGAGGCTTGTCATCATCTCTCCGGCAGAAAGATCGTCACATCCGCGGCCTTGTCTGACAGCTCAGAGCAGGGACTCAGCAGGTTGCGCTATCAGATTTTCACGCTGGAGGCAAAAAGGACCCGACCCGGAGCTGGGTCATGGGCTTTGAACCTGTTTTACTTGGAGGTTCATGGGTAGTTATAAGTGGGCTAATAACTAGGCTAGCTATAGTTATCACCAGTATCAGGGGACTTTTTACTCCACTTATAACTACCCATGAACCTCCAAGTAGGTCCACCCGCAGATGCTGCAAGTCCCTCTGGAAACGCACTCCAACTTAGCACGTCCCCCTCTCCGTTCATACCCTGAGTCATCAACACCGATGCCTTCCAATGTCGCATCCCAAAGCCTAGAACCCACAACTCTACAAGTCCTCAGCTTTGAGCCATCCCTCCCTGAATCATCTGGATAGCTGGGTTGCTGCTTCATGAAGCAGTGTTGCATTGTCCGTTCGTGATATCCAGGATTTTCAACAATTCGAAACAATAGGATCTGAACCATGTGATCTTTGACTATGTTCATCCGCGGCGAATTTTGGGCTCAGGGCGCTTGATGTTCAATAGTTTTCAGGGCTGCCTTTGCCTTCCACGTGCAAGCGTTACTGTGATTTCTGGAGGTAGAAACAGACTAGTCAAGTACAATCATCTGGAAGTGTGCACAGCTGAGGGAGATCATGCCGCCCGGAAAGCCATGCATCCGGGACTGGTTGGTGTCTGTGGATCCAGATCTGGAAATCTATGCTGAGAGGTTTGAGGAGTTTGGCTACAACATCAAGTTTTTGCGCGACACAGATGTGAAAGACTTGGAGCAAGACTTGAAGGACATGTCGGTGAAAAAGGTGCACTGCCGCGTCATACTCCGGCATCATTCCCTGTTGAAAGATGGGCCCTTGCCAGAGACACCCCCAGCTGCCTCCACCTCCACATGCACGATGCCGGCAACAAAAGGTCAGAAAGAGGAGTCGTCCCATGTGAAGAGACTGGTTCCATGCATCTCTGACATTGATCAGTTTCAGATGCCCAGCAGCATTAACTGCAGTATCTTCCGGTTCTTCGAGTGATGCAGGGTGTTACTGTACGTTTCTGTGGCAGAAGGTGGCTGGTGTTTCGGGGCGATCTGGGGCGTGTGGTAGAGCCAACAGTTAGACTTCATAGTACTTAAAGGATCATGGGACTGAGTCATTGGGGTTATAAGTAAGGTAACTACACTTACAATTAGTTATAGCCCCAATTAAGGTACTTATAACCCTACTTACTAAGTCCCATGATCCTCCAAGTAGACCCTAAACCCTAAACCCTTATAGTACCCCTATAGATCCCTTAAAGGGACCCCTATAACCCTACTAAGTCCCATGATCCTCCAAGTAGTAGGCGAGAGTTTCCCCCCCCCCCCCAATTTTCGAAAGCAGCGATCCCAAGCTTTTGACCCTTGACCCCTTTTTGACAAAATTAGGGTCCCTTTTTGGGTACCCTAAATACTAGGTGCTGTATTATACTAGGGACCCAAAAGGGCGTTCGAAGGTTTGAGGCTTGGAGTTGCAACTCCTTATTTTTGGTTAGTGGGGAATAGAAGAATGGGGCCTATAAGGAGTACTATAAGGGATCTATAAGGGTACTATAATACAGGGGCCTTAATAATTATCTTATAATCTTACCTTTGGTTAGTAGGGAATGGAAGAATGGTAGTAATAGTAGCTATAATTGTACCCCATTCCTCCATTCCTACTAACCAAAGGTAAGACTCTCCAACTCAAGTTATGTTACCTGGGTGGTTGACAATATTGAGGGTCCCTTTTTGGGTGCCCTACATACTAGGTGCCGTATTATACTGGTGACCCAGAGAGGGACCGTAATGTTGACAACCGTTTATATGTACGGTTTACAACAGGAGTTCCGTATTCTCAGAATGCAGGGAGTCTGCTCTGTGCAGGGTTTAGCAGTCACGTGGATGCCAGTCCAGAAGCCTGTCCTCAGAAGAAGCCGCTCTAAAGGAACGCTGCAGTCACTGAAGCCTTTATGAAACATTTGTAGAAACCCCATCACACCGTTTACAAAGAGTCTATAAATGGGGGCGGCGGTTTGGAGTTTGCCTGGCCTTCTCACGACTGCTGGGATGAACCACCCAGAGACTCCAGTATCCCTTAATTAAGGAATATTCCTCCAATCATAGTAGGGATCCTACTATGATATTAAGGAGCATTCCTTAATGAAGGGATGTTGGAGTCTCCTAAACCCTAGACCCTATAGATGCTCTATAGGAGCCCTTAAAGGAACCCTTATAGATCCCTTTGAAAGGATCCTAGGAGTCTCTGGGTACCAAGGCAGGGACGCGTGCTTCGGGAGGAGCTTGGCACTGGGCATGTGGTTCTGGTGCCCGTTTGGTGCCTGCGTTGGGCGCAGGCGAGGGTGCACAGTCAGATGACGTTCACCTCCGGAAGCTACAAGGACAGTTCGGGGATCAGGTAAGGTTCCTGAGTTAACTGAGGCAGTGATGTTATTTATTTCATGTTAAACCGTATACAGTTTGTATATATATATATATATACATATTTTTTTTACACTGTGTGTCATTACTCTGCTTTGGGGAAGGATATCGCTGTCGGTGGCGGGCCCCGCTCCTTGCGGATCCTCCCAGGTTAACAGTGGTAGAATCTCCTCATATGGGTTCACCGTATCGAAGCACATCCGAAGCGTGGTGACAAGACGTGGAATTCGGGGCTTCAGGGCCAGGCCGTTGAACTCCACCGCAGATGGTCGTGTCCCTACCGGCCCAACACTGAACACACCACATGCACCATGTTCTGCAGACTGGGTACTGGAAGAAAGCACAGGACCCCAGTCACACAAAAGCCACCACAGCTAGACGACGGCTGCACATTTGATATGAACCTAAGGCAGAGCTTACGATCCCTAACCCTGACATCTGAGCCGTAAGTCCGAATCCTTCAGGACCGATCCGTCTACGAGCTTCTCCACGACCTCGCCAGCGGTCGACTGAAGCCGGAGGAACGAGTGAGAGCGAGTTTGACAGGTTTAGGGTTTGGGGTTTAGGGAGTTTGACAGGGTTTAAGGATGCTTGAGGTTAAGGGACGTATGATTGGGCTTGGACATTAGTTAGGGTTTAGAGGACTTGGGCTGGGCTTGATTTGATCGTGCTCGTCTGACCTTGAGGCCTCAAGGCTTGATCGCATTGTGGTCATTTGCCAAGCGCTTCGGTGAGAGACATGTTCACTGCTTCTGACTGGGGGAGCACTGCAAGCAGGAAACCTCCACATCGGCTCTTGTTTGGGTTCAGGGCTAGGCCTTCAGAACATGAAAGGCAAGAGACTCCGCTTGAAGGGAGTCAACGCCTTTAGACAAAGGCTGTGTGGGTTGGCAACATGTATGCATCGCATATGTGTCTGTAGTGCAGCATGGACATAGATGGCATGTATATGTGGGGAACAGCATTCCTTCGTGTTGTTCTGTTTTCAACAATTTCTTCAGGGATGGCCGTGCCAGAGGTGCTCAGTGGGGTCATGGCGGCCACTTCATCGCCCCCTAAAGCTTCAAATGCGAAAAGTCTAAACCCTAAAGTTAACTTCTAGCCAGATGCCTTCTCTGAGATTTCAGAGGTAGATTTGTGCAGGAACATGTGCATCGACGTGCATGTGAGCATTGGTTGATGTCCAGATGATGTAGGGGTTAGCTCGTGGTTTGTGTTTCTGGATAGCGATTAGAAAATCCAGGGTTCCTGTGAGAGAGGATGTCGAGCGCCCTAAACCCTAAACCCAAAACCCTCCTGTGAGACAGGACATCGAGCCCCTGGATGTCATGGTGGACGGTGCCCAGCTGCTCATCATGCGGGGCAGCCGCCGGGGGGCCATGCTCAGCAGCCTACAGGGCATGTGCATCCGGCTGAATTTGCAAATCGAGCAAAGCTCTTAACCAAGGAATATTCCTTAAATCATTTCAGGGGTCCTACAAAGAGTTTAAGGAATATTCCTCAATGAAGGGCTTTCGGAGTCTCCTACACCTTCAAGCCTATGGATCCCTTAAAGAAACCCTGGAGTCTCTGGGTTCTTGGCTCTGAAGGTGGGTAGTTGTCAAACTTAGGGTCCCTTTTTGGGTACCCTGAGGGTTTAGGGTTTCGGGTTTAGGGTTTAGGGTTGAGGGTTTAGGGGAATACTAGGTGCCGCATTACAATAAGGACCCCCCAAAGGGTTTAGGGTTTAGGGTTTTGTGACAACCACCCAGGTGGCGACACAAGACGGTCTTCGCCCCCTGCCGGCTCTTCGAGCGCAGCGACCCCAGGATTTCCAACCGGCTCCATGCTCTCGACAGCTCCTTTAAGGGCGTGGGGCTGCAGATGCCCCTTGGGCTCTTGTTGGTTTAGGGGTTTGGGTTTAGGGGTTGGGGTTTAGGGTGTAGGGTTTAGGGTTTAGGGTGGGGCTGCAGATGCGCCTGGGCTCTTCTTGTTCAGGCACTAGTAAGGAAAGCCACTATTCAATATCTATGTACCATATGTCCTATAGTGGCACCTGAAGCCAGACCCTGAAGCCTCCATAAACTCAGTAAAACCCTCTGCAACCGCCTGCAATAAAATCATATAAAACCCCCTAAAGACTATGACAACCTTGTCAAGTCTGTCTAGAATCCCTTCAGTCCAGTCGCAAGAATCATAGGGATCCTTAGGGGTGTAGGGGGGAGGGGTGTAGGGGACTATATTTCCTTAAATAGGCCTTGTTAGTCCTTATTATGGGCCTTAAGGCCCCCTACCCCCCCTCCCCCTACACCCTAAACCCTAAACCCTAAACCCTAAACCCTAAACCCTACCCCCCCTCCCCCTACACCCCTAAGGATCCCTATGAAAGAAGCCAGGCACGGGCATCAACCGGAGGCCTGGCATATGGGGAAACCGCTCTTCCGGTGTGCGCAGGAGTGGTGCGATCAAGCCGATGCACGAACGAATCTAGGCTCTTGCGGAGTAGCTCAATCTGACGGGTTGTTCAGTTTCAAGGGTTCTGCCGGGGTTTATGGCTCAATGTAAGTTACTATAAGTTAATAAGACTTACGTATGATGAGCATTCTGAGTTGAATGAAGCTTTTCAAGCAGATCCCAGGAATAGCCAAGAGGGCCGCTCAGCTCTCACAGCTCAACGTACAGATTCAGTCACCGAGTACACAGATCAGCGCCCTGCAGAAGCTCTACCTGCAAAGAGTTCGATGGACAAGCAGCGGCTGGGAGTGCCAGGATCGGTATCTTGGCAGCGCAAGGAGATGAAGCCAGAATCAGATGAGGAGCTTCGGAAGACCGATTTGCCGCTTGCGGCGTATGATGGAGGTCCCAAGCCCCAGCACCGCGAACTGGAACCTTTGGAAGATGTGGGATGCATAGACATCCCTAGAGACTCTTCGTTTTCTCGTGTCGTGTGTTGTCTGTGGCTTGAGGGGAAATGCAAACGAAAAGGGTGGCACGTGAATGACAGGAAGCTGTGTCTGCATGAAGACGTGCCTGGAATACCGTGTGGTTTTGGGAACATTTGCAAATATCACCATTTCAAGACACGGACACCAGATCCCCTATCACAGAAGCCCGCCTTCCAAAAGGTGCTGCTGCCTCCTTTGACGTCCGATGGAGGTCCCAAGTCTCCACTCGATGAGCTGGGAGGCTTGGAAGGTGTGAGATGCACAGAGATCGCTGGAGACACTTCGATTTCATGCGGTTCCGATGCCCATGCGACATCGACCAAAGTCTCAGTGGTGTGTTGTCTTTGGCTTGAGGGCAAGTGCTGGCGCAAGGGGCAGCATGTTCATGGCAAGAAGCTGTTTCTGCATGAAGACGTGCCTGGAGTGCCGTGTGGTTTTGGGAACATTTGCAAATATCACCATTTCAAGACAAGGACACAATCTCTTGCAGATCCCTTATCACAGGAGCCCACGGTGCAGAAGGCGCTGCAGCCCCGACCAGTGCAGTACCAATCTGACGGAGATCCGCTCCCAAGAACAGAGGTCTTGCACGTGGGTATGATGGCGTTGATCAAGTCGTCTTCGGTATGGGGTGAGGTGATCGAAATCTCAGATTCGCCCCTTCAAGCGGCCGCACCCGTTAATGTTCGCTACGGTGGCGCCAAAACGCAAATGGGTTGGTTCGGAGTTCATGAACTTCAAATAGCAGACTATTCTTCCTTGACGGAGGGAACACGGGTGACCGTCCGGCACGAGAGTGGCCCTTTCTACTGCACAGTGAAGGGGGTCTCTGCTGAAAGCCGACGTGCTCGACGACCTGTGGAGGTCCACTATGAGGGATACGGCTCCGAGGATGATGAGTGGGTCGGCGCCGACCGCCTCCGGAGTCGAGCTATACAGTTCCTTCAGCCAAAGATGCCGGCCCAACCTGCCATCGAAGACCTCGAAGATCAAGACGACACAGAGACTGGTGGTGCTGGTGACTCAGGGGGTCCAGCGCTCCAGCGGGGAATGCTGGTGCTGGTCAAGCGTAAGGGCGGAGTGCTCCGAGGCGAAGTGCTCCAAGTGTCCAGCGACACCGAAGCTTTGTGATAGTTGGGTCACATTTTTTACATTTAAATGGGTACTTAAACCCAATAAGGAATAGAAATCTAAATTTTCAATCCCAACCATGAACTAGGAAGCAGCCGCACTCGTGCAAGTCTGGTCTGACGGCTCCACAAGTGAACCGGCCTCGTGGCTCGGCGTCAAAAGCTTACAAGTTCCCGACTACTCGGCCTTCGAAGTCGGATTGCAGGTCGGAGTCGTGGCAGGAGGGAAGGTGTACTTGGCAACAGTTCTGCAGATGCCTTCTGATGGCACCAACTGTGCCTCTCCAGTCCTCGTTCGTTACAATGGCTACACCGCTGATCATGACGAGTGGGTGGGTGCCGAACGCTTGCGCAGCAAGGCGCTGAAGCTCATTCAGCCCAGCATGCCCAGAGCGTCTCCGAACCCGGAGCTCAGCCCCGGCACGCAAGGAAACAATGTTCTTCGCGTGGGGATGATCGTCTGCAACGCAGACTCGCTGGTGTGTGGTGAGGTGTTGGAAGTCTCATCAGCAGCAGAGCGCGCCAAAGCACCTGTTAAAGTTCGCCAAAGTACGACGAAGACTCATTCTGCGTGGTTTCCTGTGGAGAAGCTGCGACTGCCTGACTACTCTGGGCTGTGCGCGGGCATGCACGTCACGGTTCTGTCCGATGGAACGCCTTACCTTTGCACGGTTTTGGAGATTTCAGGCAGCAGAGGTAGGTCCAAGGAACCCATTCGCGTCAACTACAGCGGCTACACCTCCAAGGACGATGAGTGGGTGGGCCCCGACCGCCTGCGCAGCAAGCATCTGAAGCTCGTGCATGTTTCCCTGCCATCAACGCCTTCAAGGACCGAGCCAGTGGAGACATGGCATCCGAGCATTCCAGCAGTGGAGATCGCTGAACCGCGTCGACCCGGGCCGGAGTTGTCTGGCCCTGCACCGGCCCAGTCAGCTGAGTCTCTGCCCTGGGATGAGGAAGGCTCGGACCATGAAGACGCTGCTCGGGGGCTCGACTCGGCAGTGGAGGCTGTCGATGCAGCTCTGACGGCAGAGAGCCACCCAGCCGTGCTGAAGAGGGATCTGGAGAAGGACCTCCGAGCCACGCTGGGCACGGCGCACGTTCGGAAGGTGCTGGTCCAGCACGGATGGACCGGCAGCGGGTTCTCACAAACCCCGGACCTCGAGACCCTGAAGCAGCAGCTGTCGCTGGCCAAGGCGGAGTTGCACGAGTTGGAGAGCCAGGGCAGCTGTAGCGAGGACGTCTCGGACGAAGCAGAGCAGCTCTTCGACGTGGCCTCCTCGTGTGCTGCCGACTGCAAGGACCCGGAGACTCGTGCGCAGCACATGTGATGTGCCTCTCGTGGAAAGCGCACTTCCCACAACCGTGAGCCCGGAAGCCTCAAAAGCTAAACCCTCCCTTGACCCTAAACCCGGAACCCAAGGCCTGACACTCGACCCCAAGCCCTGAACCCACAAGCCCTGAGCCTCAAATGCCGCTTCCAACTTCAAGGAGGCAGATCCGCGAACCCTAAACCTGAGCCTTACACCCCTAAACCTTAAGCCCCAAACCCTAACCCCCAAACTCCTAACCCTAAACCCGAACCCTAAACCCCTAAACCCTAAACCCCAATCCCTAACCCGTGAACCCTGAATCTTAGACCTAAACCCCTAGCCCTAAACCCTAACCCCTTATACCTAAATTCGAGGAGGCAGATCCATAGAAAGGGACCCGAATACCCTGAGAGTACCTGTATAGAAATCCTCAACTCCTTAAACCCCTTAAATTCAAGAACTGAAATCCTCAACCCTAAACCCTTAAACCCGCAACCTTAAACCCCCAAACCCTAGACCCATAACCCCTAAACCCTAACCCTAAACCCTCGACCTTCAACTCCTAAATTCAAGGAGGCAGATCTCGAGGCCGAGCTGGAAACGCAAAGAAGCGATGGAATCGCCTCCTTGGAGGTGCTGAGGCTCGGCTTCCTTTTCTGGGTTCTAATGTAAGTTACCATAATAAGGAAACCATACGGTCTACTATAGACCCCTATTATGGTGCTTAGGAAACCATACTATCTACTACAGACCCCTATACTATCTACTATAGACCCCTATTTGGTACTTGTAGCTTAAATGACATTCCTGAACCCAGTTTGGTGGCTGATAGGGCTTCGGCTTCAGGGTTTTGGGGTTTTGGGAGCTTGAAGGGGTGCTTCTAAGTTTTGTTTTGCAGGTTTAGGGGTTGCGGGATACCCCGTTTTGGCTCCTATGAGCGGGACCAGCAGAAGCGTGAGGATTTCAGTTTTGGGGGCTTCTGTTGGGGAAGGCGAACGTAAGCATCCTTCCCTGTTGTTTAGGGTTTCAGGGTTTAGGGTTGAGAGGGTGCTTTCAGAAAGTGCTAAGATAGCAAAAGCAGACATGTACCAAAAAGGCCCTGAACGGGATACTGCGGCAGAGATGGAAACTGGAAGCGATACCAAGCATCTAGGGTAGAGCCAATCGCAGGATGTATGGCCCATGCCGGTAAGCTGCATCCCTTCGCCTATCTGCCGATAAATCCCTCTGCATGTCCAGTTGAAGCGAACTCGACCCGAACCGCAGAACTTAGGAACCAAATTCTAAACTATTCTAAACCCCGAAAGCCGCAAATCTCAGGATGGGAGTCCTGGTCTACGGAACCTTTCGTTGCGTATCAGGAACCTCCGATGGTCAACAGAAGCGGTGTGGAGAGGCCTCCTCTGAATGGCTTTGGAGCTTTTTGTAGTTGGGCTTGGTTAAGTTTAGGGTTTGGGCTGGGGGGTTTAGAGTCTATAGGTTAAAGTTTGGGTTCATGGCCTAGGGTAAGATGCCCCCGTTTACTGTACGATTTACATCATATTTCGGCCTATGAGTGGGCAGCTATGTGTAGAACCAACCGAGTCCCTGCAGCCCTCTGAAAACTCCCTTCAAGTCCAATGTTCCTTTCTATGTAAGGCAGCCCTCATCAGCGCCAGTTGTGTGGGAATATGTAGAATCAAAACGCCAGGATGAGACTTTGAATGAAGGGTTTCGTGCCTTCAAGGGCATTCGAGGTGCAAAGTGTGTCAAGGTTTAGGGGATTGTCTTAAGGGGCTTTGACCTTGAACTTGAGTTTATGGATATCCAGATCAGGCAGGATTCTGCATGGGGATGTGTCAGAAAAGCACCTCATTCCAGGGTTGTTGTACTGAATCGATAACCGAGATCCTGTAATAACTTCGGCTCCATATGCAAAGTCCCATACCTGGACCATATGACGACCTCTATGAGGCTGTGATTCTTCTTCTGCATATACTTATTGAACACCCCTTCAACCGTGGTGAAGGTGCTGATTGAGCGTGGTCCCGAGTGCTTACATCGCTGCAAGGCAGGGCCCTTTTTCAACCGGCTTGGGGTCTTCTGAGGATGTCTTGGCTTCTATTGAGGACGTCGTGGCTCAGGAACTGAGGTGCTGATATGCTGAAGCCCACGATAAAGGTATCTGAGGTAGGGCAGACTCCAGGGGCTTGTGTTCAACACTGAGCCGAAGAGGTTGGGTACCTCCTTCTTTCTTGAGGTGCACATCTTGGCGGGCAAGAATCGCGGACAAGCGTGGGATTTCGACCGCTGTCACGTTCGGATCCTTTATGTCGCGTCCTCAGTTGCAGTCTCACGGCAAGCTGAAGCTTGAACTTCTTTTGGCCGTCCAGGTCCGACGAAACCTCCCTTATTGTGCGAGAAAGTGAAAAATTCCATCGGAAGCCGGAGACATGCACCTGAAACAGAGAGAAATCTCCGACAACAACTTAGCACTGCTGCATCAGTCTCCTGACTACAAAGCCAGGAGACTGATTCTAGACGAGCCTAGACAAGAAACTCCGATCCTTCAGCCCTAAACATAGAACCCTAGGCCGGAGACCGTGAAATCTGAACCTTCAACTCGCACAAGGCCCAGGACCGTATACGCTCTGAACCATGAAGCCTGAACTCCAAGAACCCGAAAGCGTGTCAACTCTGCACCACAACCACCAGGTCCTAAGCCCTGGACCTATGGAACCTTAAGCTACAAGCGCTAACTATCTGGTACTGACGATGGACAAGGTCGTGCATCTTGCTTAATCAAGGAATGTGCAGCGGTCCGAACCCCGAAGCCCGAGACGCTAAACCCTAAACCCCGAACCCGTAAAGCCGTGAACCCTATATCCGTTGTAGAACCCTTTCCAAAAACCATGTAAAACTGTTTAGACTGGAAAGCACCCTTCAAGAACCCTGAGCTCTATGCCCAAAATCCCCAAACCCTAAACCACTCATAAAGCCCTTCTATAACTTCACGAGCGCCTAAGCGCCAAATCCGAAACCAAACCCCAAGCCCTGAACCCCAAGTCCAAAGCCCTAAGGTCTAAGCCCTAAACCCCAAACCCCCCAACCTTAAATAAACCCTAAACTCCAAACCCCCCCAACCTTAAACCGTAAACCCTAAACCCGAAACCCCAAACCCCCTCAACCTTAAACCCTAAACCCTAAACCCTAAGCCCTAAACCGCAAGCGAGGCCCGGGTCTTCTCGCAGGATGGATCCGTTCGTCGGCGGCCCCTGGATTCCCCAGGAGCTCTGGATCTTGGCAGGCCCGGGGTTTTGGCGTTGACGGGTTTTTGGCGTCAAGGGTTTAGGGGTTTGTGCTTGAGGGTTTAGGTGTTTAGGGGTTTTAGGGGTTTTGGGGCTTTGAGGTTTCTTCGGATTTCTTGGCAATTTTCGGTAGGGTTCAGTGTTATTTGTGGTGGCATGATTTCTTGAGTAGGGAAAGGAGCAAAAACAAGGACAACGAATGACATATACAAAGCCGTACCGACAAAAAAACATGCGGAACTAACCTGACGACCCAAGCCTGTGTTTGGGGCTTTGGGTGTCAGGGGTTCGGATTTGGGCCGTAGTTTAACAGAGGGAGGTCCTTCCAGTCTTTGTGTGGGATGAAGAGTTTAGGGGCTTTAGGGTTTAGGGTGTGCCTGGGGTCGAGAGCCTGGTGTCTAGGGTTTGAGGGTTTAGGCTTTAGGCTTGTGTGAGGGGTTCCGACATATGTGGGCTTTCGTGTGATCTCGTTTTGAGGGCCGAGAGTCTAGGATGGGGTGCTCACTACCCTTTATCAAGAAATATACCTTAAATTACAGGGGCCTTAATTTATTAATGCTATGATTTGAGGTATATTCCTTAATTAAGGGGTATTGGGATCTCTGGGCAGGCAGGCTTTCGAGTTTTGGCTTTCGAATGCCAGGGTTTGTATAGGCAGGGTGACATTCCATGAGACTGAACGTTGGACCAGCGTCCTCGAAGCAGACTCCTCGCAGGACAGAGCTTTTTGGCCGAATTCTGCACTCCAAAGAGTTCGGGGTCACCAGGCAGAAGCTCTACGTTTGCTCGAAGTCTAAGGTGGTCCGATCCAAGAAGGCCATCTGCAGCTTGGGTTCAAGGGCTCAGGTCTTCTTAGGAGAAGTTCCAGGGAAGCCAGGGGCTACAAAACCTTCTCATTCAGGAACAGACCGCAAGTGTCCGCAAGTCGTGTTACAGTCATACCAAGGATCCACTTCGAATTCTTAGTACATACATTCCCTACTTAAACCTAGAGGGTTCTGGAGCCTCCGGCAAGGGAAGGAGTCCTCGAGTTGGGAAGCAGGTCTTATCCTTCCGCCCCATCAACGGCAAGCTGCCTGGCATTAGCGTTCCCTGGGACGAAGCGTTGAGCCTGCCCAGCAACCACGACCTTCACGTGGTCGAAGCCGGGCTCCTGTTAAGGAACGTCCGTTCTGGGGACATGTAATAGAAGACAATGCTTTCCTTATCTGTACGGGAAGCTTACGCTATGGACCTCAACAAACTCACACCTCCATGTCCTATAAGATCCTATAGAATATAAGATCCCATAGATCCTTTAAGTTACAGTCACACAAACCACGTCAACTACGTCCTTTCAGGAAGTCACAGACTGGGGCCGGGACCTCCGACCACGTGGGCGGTACATCCAAGCCCTTGGAATGCAGTGCCGGGACTCTGACATTGCAATTCTGGAGCCCGTCCAGGTCTTGACTTACCTTTGGTTAGTAGGGAATGGAGGAATGGGGTACAATCATAACTACTATTACTACCGTTCTTCCGTTCCCTACTAACCAAAGGTGAGTGGAACGCGAAACACTGGTTTGCTACAGGGGCTTTGGATGGGGCTTTACCGGAGTTTGTGTGGGTGTTTGTAGGTTTTATGAAAATGTTTCTAGAGGTTAAGGATCTGTTTTTGTTGGCGGTATGAGGACCCAACTACAGGGGGATTCCATGGAACCTTACTTGTCAGATGGATGCCTGTTTTTGTGAGCTCTTCTGGCCCCGTCCAGGTTTCCCTCAACTTCTGCGACTGGAAGCGCGGAGACGTCAAGCGTAGGATGGGCCTGTTCCCGTCGGGTCAGTTTCCCCAACCGGATGCTTCCAGACGCAGCTTGGGTATGGTTAAGGAGCTTAACTTAAGTTGCAATGCCAAGGATAACCACCATATTTTTGACATAAACATATCCTCATCGTCGTAACGTGCACTCAGATTTTGAACAAGAGCCCACGAAGGCAGAGATCTTCGAAGCTCCATGACCTTCGGCATCCAGCTGCCGGGGCCAGTCTGCATGGTGATGTCTGTCTTGCCCGGCGAAGGCTTGCAGATGCATGTTCTGGATGCAGCTCGGCGCATGAGTCAGTCCTTCCGAGTCCTTAACATGTCGTTGATGTTAGGCCATCTCCCGGGCCGAAACAAGACTTATGCACGAGCATCGCCAGATTCGGTTCTGAAGAGTTTGGCAGCAAGATTCACTAGTAGAGCATTGGAGTCAAGGTCAACGCTTACCTGGATCAGCAAGGGGTGGCAACGGTCGAGGAGGTGGTGCGGCGACGTGCAGTTGGTGCTTGGTTCCTGGATCACAAGGATCGGCCCTTGCAGGCCTTCCTCCCGCTCTTCCCTCCCGACGTGGAGCAGGAACTGGTCTTCCAGGAGGGGTCCGAGCGCCTCGCCATGACCTTCACCTTCCCCTTTACCGAGCAAGGCCTGGAGCTGGAGAAAATGCAATAGAATTTCATCCAGACTAACACTATGCTATACCATACTATATATCATACTACAGTATACTATACTGTCATATTGCCTTAAACCCTCAACCCTAAGCCCTAAGCCCTAAACCCTAAAACCCCTAAACGCCTAAATCCAAAACCCTTATTATCACATACCCAGCGAGGCCTGGACATGGAGAGTGTGGTCATCTCGGAAACTCTGGTTCGATGCGGCGTCCTGCTGAGCTCCCAGAGAGCCGGCTTGATGCTCCTGGGCAAGGAGGAGGGTTCGCGCTAAGGGGTTTAAGGTACCATAATCGGGATCTACAGTACACAAGGGGTTTAAGGTACCATAATAGGGACCAATAGAAGCAATATGGTTCCAATCTTATGGTGACTTCAATTAAATCCCTTAACAAGAACGCAGAAGAGGAGGGAGGCGAGGTCGGAAGTTCGCTGCGCCGGGTCGCCGCCCTTATGCGGCAGTTTGAGAAGGCGGAGATCGCGCGTGGCAGCCTGGCAGCCCTGGAGCACTTGGACATCGACTTCGCGGCCGAGAGCTCCGGCATCGACGAGGCCTATGCACCATTGGCAGCCACTCGCTTCCTGCGGACTTCGATGCAGCTGGGCCGAAGAAAGCATCGTGCCTCGTGATTTTCCTCACACCTCCTGAATCTTGAACAAAAAACCGCTCCCCAAGATTCGCCGAGGCATCTGGTGGACAGGCAGGCTGGAAGACGCCTCCTCGGTAGCGCTGCCTGGTCCGGGCTTTTGAAGCCCTCCGCTTCGGGCGAGGACGTGCAGTCCCTGCCGCACTTCGACATCCGGCATTCGCACCTCGGACACCTCCACACCTGTCTTTCGGCTTTGGGGGCCAGACACCCTCAATTCCCCAAGCCCTGAACGCCAGGGTTTGAGGTTTTAGGGGTTGGGGGTTCTAGGGGCCTTAAACCCTCAACTCTGTGCTTACCGAAGGCACGGGCGGCCCGATCCCTCCTCTTGGAAGATCATCGAGCGGCTCCTGCGCGTGAAGCCCGAGGACCCGGCGACTCCAAACATCCCTTAATTGAGGAACAGGGTTCTATACCGGGATTGAGCATTTTTCGTTAGATCATATTAGGGATCCTACTATAATTTAAGGTGTATTCCTTAATTTAGGGATATTGGAGTCTCTGAGGAGAGAGGCAAGCCCCTCTCGGTGCCAGCGATCCTCCAGGTTGGAGTCTTCAACGTGGTTTGAATTCTTGCTTCCCTTAAACCCCTTAAGCCCTAGAGCCCTAAAGCTCTACTTAGAATCCTAAACCCTAAACCCTAAAGCGCGAAAGCTGTACCTAGAACCCTAAACCCTAAACCCGAATATCATCCATGAATGTAGCACTTTCCTGTAGCCTTTACCTTTGGTTAGTAGGGAATGGAAGAATGGTAGTAATAGTAGTTATAACTGTACCCCATTCCTCCATTCCCTACTAACCAAAGGTAAGTGTAGCCAGGCCTTGCAGGAGATCTTGCGGCAGCCGAACCTTTCCTACGCCGTGAAGCAGAGCTTTCAGTCCTCCTTCCTTCGGCGCCTGCGGGTGGTCCTTCTCCGTGCATACTACGAGGCCGGGTTGCACCAGGCCAAAGTCCCAAATCCTGAACTCCGAAACCATACTTAAAGGATCATGGGACTTAGTAATGGGGGTGTAAGGGTCCCTTTAAGGGATCTATAGGGGTACTATTAAGGGTTTAGGGTCTGGGGTCTAATTAAAGGATCGTGGGACTTAGTAATTGTGGTTATAGGTACGGTACCTACAGTTATAATTACTCATCACCCCAATATAACCCTGCTTACTAAGTCCCATGATCCTCCAAGTAGCCACTGACCCCCAAATCGCTGAAGATGGTAACTGCAAAGTTCCCTTGCCCTGTTCGTTGAACCGTAGCCCTTAAACCCCTGAACCCCTAAAGCCGGAACGTTGGCCCTAAGCACTCCTACCCTAGACCGTAAATTCAAAAACCCTGAACCCTGGCCCTAATCCCTCAACTCGGCAATCCAGAAGTGCGTTTTCTTTTGAGGTAACGGAAGGAGCGGCCTCGCCCGAGGAGTGCTCCTGCTTGACTGCACTACAGGGCCTTTACATGGGGGTATACAGGTGGTTCTCTGAATTAGGGTCCTTCGTATATGGGTGCCGTACTTTTTTGCGGACCTGAAAAGGTACCCAAAGCTAGAGAACTACCCATATTGTAACATGACTTTATGGGGACTTGAGGGGGATATCACTACGTAGTAACTATTCAGGCCTCCGCAATAGGCCAGGCGTTTGATGTCTGCCCTGAAACCTGAAGACCCTGAAGCTTCACGTTAAAACCTTAGGCCAACAATCCGCAAAGCTTTCAACCTTGAGACTCAAAACCCTAAACAATACGATCCTAAGCCGTACCCTAAACCCTAAACCCTAAATCGCAAAGTGAGCCTTGAACCAATGAAGTGCCGCGTCCGAGCAGCCCTGCATTTCATAGATCCTTCCGATGCAGACGCTGTAGACCTCTTCACATTCTCAGGATACAATAACTATCTCCTAGACTGGATCATCCAAGCTTGACCCAAGGAACGGGCCCCGATAAAGGATTCCTTCTGAAGACCCCCCCCCCTAAACTGGGTTCTTGTTAAGGGATTTAATTTAATTTAAGGTACCATAATAAGGAAACCATGTTGTTTACTATAGCTCCCTATTATGGTAACTTAAATTACATTCCCTAGCAAGAACCCAGTAAACCCGAAACCCTGCCGGGAGGAGCCCCTCTTCCATGTGACGGCGCCGCTTCATCGCCACCTGGACATCCTGGGCATGCGAGCTCTGAAGCCCGAGGGGGGGAGCCCTAAACCCAACCCTACACCCTAAAGATTCCTAAACCCTAAAGGAGCTTTTAATGGGAAGCCAAGATCCCGACAGTTCCCAAGTTGTAGGTGTGTGGCTTCGGCTTTCTCGCAAGTCCCAGCAGGTGCCAGCTGGGCTGGCGAGCCACTTGCGACCACCTTCGCCTCTCGCGCTGGGAGCTGGAGGAGGCTGTGGCAAGAGCAAACGCTCGACTCGAGTCGCAGAAGTTCGGGCTCTACATCTTCCGGACCATCTCCCGCATGAGGGAACTCTCCAACCACGGCCAGCGCATCTTCGATGCCGTCATCGGGGCCGTCGGGCCCACCTACATCAACGTCCTCATCCCGTCTCCGAGCCTCGATGTGCTGGAGCTGAAGGTCCCGGTGGATGCCCTCTGCAGCTCCACGTGTGTCTCGGAGTATGACGGCACCACGCAGTCCATCAAGCTCCTGGGTTCTTGTCAAGGAATCTCATTAAAGTTACCATAATGGGGGGCTATAGTAAACACTATGGCTTCCTTATCATGGCAACTTTAAACTGAATCCCTGAACAAGAACCTAGTTTAGGGGGGGAGGGGTCTTCAGAAGGTTTCCTTTCTATGGCAACTTAAACAGAATCCCTGAACAAGAACCCAGGCTCACCATCTCCGGCACCGCCCATCCCGGCGACGCCAGGCAGCTGCGCATCCGGCTCCCAAGCTGAAGTCTGGTGTTCAGGGACGGGCTTCGGGTTTGGTTTAGGGTTTAGGGTTTAGGGCTTCAGGGCTTTGGGTTAGGGCTTTCAGGTTTCGGGTCCCAAAACCAAGGGGAAGTTTTCATCTTTAGAGACGGTTCTGAGCTGCTCTCCCTCACGAATCAACCCCGCCGCAAATTGCGTTTGTGAGCAGCCGCGCGAGGTCGTGGCACGCTCATGTCGTCACCTGCACCTGGACGTTCATGAAGACGGCTTGTTCTGTGTTAAGTTTCTTAAGGTATAATCAAAAGAAGGCATCGAAGTTGTAATTCTCCAGGGTATTCAAAGAACAGTTCAGGTACCATCTCCAGGAATTTTGCCCAGCCCATCCCGCACCATGCGAGTCCCAACTCGGTGGTGATCAGCGAGATGACCTTCCATGAGGAGTCCGGGACTCCTCCTAAACCCTAAACCCTAAACATCCCCCTTGTTTTGAGGCCTCCTGCTATGGTCTCGGAGAAATTCGTGTGACTCTAAAGTCCGTGAGCTGTCTGCGCTTACTTGGAGGATCATGGGACTTAGTATATAAGTAGGGTTATGGGTAAGGTAACTCTAGTTATAATTATTTATAATTTCAATTGAGCTATTTAAAACCCTACTTACTAAGTCCCATGATCCTCCAAGTGGAGTTCGTCCCGTGATGGTACTGGGATGGCGCTTTGCACTCGACCTAGGTATGGAGCTCTGAAGCCGCAAAGCCCACGAAGTTAACCCGCACCTGGCCATGACGTTAATGGCGAAAAAGCCTTAAGCCCGACATTGTTGAACGCAGCAGCTCGATATAGGATAGAATTATCAGAGCGGTTCAGAACTTTTCGGGTTTTGGTCAACTCTGGGACCCGACATCGAAAGCGGGCTGGAGTGCTTCCCCTTGGCTCCTCTGGCGCTTGGATGAGGGATCGTCGCAGGGATCCCAATAGTAAGGCTCCTAACACGGAATCTGGTGGGGATTCCAATATTATGACCCTACCTGCACAGTAGGGATCCCAACATTAAAGGCCCGGACCTCGAATCCGCACCTTGAACTCTAAACCCAAAGCCCGAAACCCCAAAACCCAAAGCTTGGGAGGACCTCGAAAACGAGATTTCCTTCGCGGTGGGTCAGAAGATGCCACCCGGAGCAGCGGAGAATAGGGGTTTCGACATTAGGGGCCAGAACAATTGGACATAAGATTTCCTTGGGTGTCTTTTGCAGGGATCTGTAAGCGTTATTGTAAGGGTTGTAGATAGAGTCCCGAGTATATTTGCCAAGACAGTATTCCTTACAGTTTCTTCATATTATGGCTCTACGATAGCATGGCCTAAATGTGCTGTTCTCCATATGAAGGCATGCTTTTGTTGACGCAGTCTCCACGACTTCCAAAGTCAGACTGCCGAGCTTTGCCACCAAGCAAGCAACTCCCAACGGCGCTTGAAGGGTCAGGAGGCCCAGTAACAGCTAGGGTTACCATGACTCTAAGTGGGGGTTACCGTATGTATAGCAGTGTTTACAACCTAGCGCGAGTTAGATCCTCTGCCTTTTTTGAACTCCCACATAAATCCACTAAACCCCGAGACCGCTTGATAATCCTAAACCTATTTGCTAAGTGGCAAACCCTGACCCCTATTGCAGGCCTCTACAGACTTCGTCGTGTCCCTCGACAAGAGAAACTCTACAATGCCCCCGAAACCCTATTCTAATGTCGAAGGCTAAGCCATATAGAACCCTTCTCCAACCCTTAACAGACAAGCTCCTATAAATCCCACAACATCACGGGCCCAGGTTCCCCGAGATGTTCTCCTCTTGGCCGGACCTCAGTGAGTGGGCCACCTTGGACCGCCGGGTGGAGACCTACTCGAAGCTCTGGGCCAGGGTGAAGTCCTGCCAGGCGGTCTTGGGTTTCGGTTTTAGGGTTTTAGGGTTTTAGGGTTTAGGGTTCAGGGTCGGGTTTAGAATCCCAAAACCCAAGCACCAAACCCGGAGAGAAACCAGGGTTTAGGGTTTGGGGCCTCTGCTGTTTTGGGGCTTCTTAGTGGACTCCAAAACCCTATTCTAATTTTAACGCTACGCCGCCCGCCTCGGCTCTTTAGCGGCAGGGCGAGGGGGCAGTCGATGTTGTTTTCATGCTTGGGGGGCCTCTCAACCCCAACCTTTGCACGGTTGTTGTTTTTCAAGTGCGGAAACGCCGCCAGCTTCCCGCCTGCCGAGAAAAAACGGGGGCAAGGGTGGGGGAGGGGGGGGGAGGCGGGGGAAGGGGGGGGAGGGGGGGGAGGAGGTGAGGGGTCCAAACATTTGGAACCCCCAACATGCCTGGGCCTGTGGCCTCGGCGGATTATTACGGCCCCCGGAAGAGAGGTGCATGCCGCAGCGGTCTCGGGCGCCGCCTACACGCCCTCGGCGGATGCCTGGGGCCTGCAGTGGTGGATGGAGGGCCGGAAGCGCTTCTTCCAGTGCCAGGCAGACCCCAGTACGAAGTACGGTTTTTTCCAACAGCTTCAACTTCTTGAAATGGTCCTTGAAGGGTTCTCTATCGGGTTCTCCAAGGTTTGTGTAGGGTTATGACAGGTTCTTTGAATGCTTTTTTGAGGTTTTTAACGGGGCTTTTGTTGAGCACGGGATTCCCGAACCCGGTGTACGCCCGAATCCGGGAGCGCTGAGCACATTTCAGTTGAGGGAGAGAGAGTCCACACCATAGGAAGGCCAGACCGTTCTGTTGATTAAGCGCATGACACAAACTTTTACATCGTTCTAGTGTATAGAGCCCTTGAAGAGAGAGGCTTTTCGAATTTTGTTTTTGGGCTTTCGGCATGGCTCCAAAGCTCTTCAGGTTGATGTCCAGCTGTCGGAGTACCAGTGGCTCCAGCCAGGACGGCAGCGTCCGCACGGACAGCTACAGTTTAAATGAAAAACCGTTATCTGATTGGTGTTGCTTTCCCAGTCTTGCAGCGGATTCTGCTTCGGCACTATTGGATCATGTCGCTTCGTGAAAGCTGAGTTATCATGAACTACAATCGCGACAGGATGCACCAACTGTAAACACGAGCAGAGGTATCGGTATCTGCAGTGAGAGCTTTGCAGGAGCCAAGTCCCAGGGCCTAGCCACCAACACCCAGGCAAACCCTAAACGCGAAGAAGTCGAGCCCGAAAGCCTCCCTAAGAAGTCCTGAGAAGCCAAACCCTAGCCTTAACACCGAATCCCTCCAGCTACTCATCTTTCCTTCCGCAACCCTCCCACTCTCCCACTCAGATCTAAACCCTGCACCCTCGATCCGAAACCCCAAACCCCCCAAACCCTAATCCTCTCCCCCTAAACCCCCTAAACCCTAAACCCCCTAACCCCCCAAACCCCCTAAACCCCCTAAACCCCCTAAAACCCCTAAAATCTCCCCCAAAACAGAAACCAATAACACTGGATCCCCAAACCTCCTAAACCCGAAACCCCAAGCGGCTAAACCCCTAAACCATCCGAGCCTGAACCCCTAAACCCTAAGCCCTAAGAGCCTAAACCCCCGTAAACCCCTTTTTTAAAGGAGGCGCTGAAAAACTAGGACCCAGACTAGGCCCTTATTCCCTTTTTGTTAGGGTTTAGGTTCTCTTATAACCTCCTTTAACCCAAAAAGGGCACCCTTTTTTCTCCTAGGTTACTCTTGGGTCTAGAAAAGCAGAAAATCACCGAAGAGGAGACTTGGCGGTTCTGAGTTGCGAGCGCGGCGATGCCATTGCCGTCCTCCAGGGCAGCGTGCGCAAGGTCGGATCGGGGGGCGGGGTGGGGGGTTCGGGTTTTACCCTAAGGGACCCTAATTGGGACTATGATATTTAGAAGTCTATAGAACAACTACAACTACGTGGGGGGTGGGGGGGGGGGGAGGGGGGCGTTTCGGGTTTTGCCTAAAGGACCCTAATGTAGGAACCTGATTAAGAGACCTTGGGCCTTTATGGGGTTCCTGATATGAATCCTACTAATCTGGGGTTATAGACCCAGGGTTTCTTAATCAGGTTCCTACATTAATTGGGACTATGATGTTTTAGAAGTCTATGAAATAACTGCAACTACTTACTAAGTCCCGACCCTCCCAGCATGGGGTTTAGGGGTGTTGTGTTTAGGGTTTGCCGGTTCAGGGTAGATTCAGAGTGTACTTAAAGGATCACGGGACTTAGTAATTGGGGTTATAAGTCAGGTAGCTACAGTTATAATTACTCTTAGCCCCAATTAAGGTACCTATACCCCTACTTACTAAGTCCCATGATCCTCCAAGTAGGGTTTGCCGGTTCAGGGTAGATTCAGAGTGTAGGTTTGAGGTTTTAGATGGTTTCATCACGCAGAACGCCAGCCATGCTTGGAGGATCATTGGACTTAGTAAGTAGGGTTATGAGTACCCTAATTGAGGTTATAAGTAACTATAACTGTAGTTACCTTACTTATAGCCCCAATTACTTAGTCCCCTGATCCTTTAAGTAGGCCCCAAACCCTAAACCCTTTTAGTACCCCTATAGATTCCCTTAAAGGGACCCTTTAAAGGAACCCCAATTACTAAGTCCCCTGATCCTTTAAGTGTGCCCACATGCGCCGAGGCCAAGGAGGAGCGAAACCCTGCCAGTCAGGCTCGGGTTGCTGGGCAGAAGCAGCAGCGCTTCACCGTGGAGGCCAGCTTCTTACCTTTGGTTAGTAGGGAATGGAAGGGGCCTTATAAGGTATCTATAAGGGTACAAAAATATATGATATGGGCCTTAATAATCCTATAATCTTACCTTTGGTTAGTAGGGAATGGAAGAATGGGGCCTATAAGGGTTACTATAAGGGATCTATAAGGGTACTAGAATATAGGGGCCTTAATAAGTATCTTATAATCTTACCTTTGGTTAGTAGGGAATGGAAGAATGGTAGTAATAGTAGTTATAATTGTACCCCATTCCTCCATTCCCTACTAACCAAAGGTAAGCTTGAGGAGCTTGTTCTACTTTACGGGGTTGCCACGACATGTTCTTTGGGATTTTTTTCGATTTCAGTCGTAGTTCAAGGCAAGTTGGGGCTATACCTCAAATTATGCGGTACCCCCCTTAATTTTCAGACCACTCCCTTGATTTTCAGGGGTTTCGGAATCTATGGACAGGTCTCTAGTTTTCAACTGTCGTCTTGAAAACAATCACGACGAATCCGGAAGCCATTGCAGACTTGCAGATTGTTGAGCCCAAGACCCTAGCCCCTACAACCTAGACAGCTCCACCAAACTTGGTATTCCGACTGTACTGCAACCCTAAACCTTGAACCCTAAAACCTGAACCCTAAACAAAAAGAAGTAAACCGCATGGCATCCTGGACCATCTGAAGACAGCAGCCGCCTTTCCCAATCAAGAAAGCCTTGAGGTGGAGTTGTCCGAGATCGCTCAGCTTGCGCGGGACAACCAGGAGCAGTGTTGCGGATTCAGGGCTTGAGGTTTCAGGGTGAAACCCTAAGCCCCTAAAAACTTTAAAACCCTAAACCCTAGAACCCTAAACCCTAAAACCCTAAAGCCCTAAAACCCTGAACCCTAAAACTCTAAACCCTAAAACCCTAAAACCTAAAACCCTAAGCCCTAAAACCTAAAACTCTAAACACTAAAAACCCTGAACCCTGAAGGTTTTTAGGGCTGGTAGGATTTAGGGTTGAGGGTTTCAGTGCTAAGCCTGTGACATTGAGGCTTCGAGCCCAAGGCTAGGAGTTGGCTTCTGGGTATGCTCTTTCTCTTACCTTTGGTTAGTAAGGAATGGAAGAATGGTAGTAATAGTAGTTAAAATTGTACCCTATTCTATTCCCCCATTCCCTACTAATGAAAGGTAAGATTATAAGGTAATTATTAAGGCCCCTATATTATAGTACCCTCATAGATCCCTTATAGTAACCCTTATAGGCATTCCCCACAAAACCAAAGGTAAGTTCTATTCTTCTTGCGCCTCAAAGACCGAGGATTCAGTAGAGCTCCCTGGGAAGCGGAAGCACTCTTGCAAGAGGGTTTCTTTCCATGATTTCCTTATATAAGTCCTTAAAAAGGTAGGTTACTCCGGCTTAAGGTAGGCATAAGAGAGCTCACTAGTTTGAGGCTGAAGGGTTTTAGAGTTCGGTTCGCGTTTCTTGGTGCTCTGGGGTGTTGAATTCATGGTTTAGCTCGTGGACGTGCGCATTCCGTGCTCTGACACTTCAAAGGGCGGCAAACAGATCGCACTAGAAACAAGTTTGGGCAGGAGGCGTCGTGTATGATTACGGCACAAGCCTCGCAGCCGAAAGTTAACCGTTGATATTGGAGGAGCTAGGGAGCCAGGGATGATGATAATCCCTATTAAATAAGGAGCTAAAGAGCCAAGGGAACCCCAAAACCACTGGTAAGTTATGTCCGAACCTGGAGCCCTTGAGCGTGGAAGGAGGCCACCGTGGAGGCGGCCACCGCCGCTCGCGTCTACTTCATCCTCGTGCCTGCGAACGAGAAGTGCCCGGGCTGCCTCGGGAGAGGTTTGTGGAAGCCTACTTAAAGGATCATGGGACTTAGTAATTGGAGGTAGCTGCAGTTATAAGTACTTATAACCGAAATTCATAATAAGGTACTTATAACCCTACTTACCAAGTCCCATGATCCTCCAAGTACCACCCCGACCTCTGAAACCCTAGAGCAGTACCTTCAAACCCCTAAGCCTAAATTCAGAGCCACTATGGAAGAAGACCTCGATGCCCCAAACCAATGTTGAACCCTCGTGGAGCGCTCAACCCTAAACCTCGTTGAGAAGCCTTGCAGAACCTGAAACCTGAAACCCTGAACTCCAAAAGCCTCAAGCCCACGCAACTGCCCTGGACCCTAAGCCCTGCACCCTAAAGGCCTTAAGAACCCTAAAAGCCATATAGCCTAAATCCTAAACCCTAAGGCTCTAAAAGCACCAAGCCCTAGGCTCTTAAGCACTACGAAAACGAGCCGAGGAAGAGCGTTCAGCTGCTCCTAGCACTCCCAAGCTCTCCGCCACTGCAGCTGGGCTCTTGTTTAGGGTTCCTTGAAGGGTTTAGGGTTTAGGGTTTAGTGGCTCCTGTCAGGGTTCTCGAAGAGTTTTGGGTTTTGGATAAGGGTTCTTGTTCAGGAACTTGCTTTAGGTTACCGCAATGTAGGGTTCCTTGAAGGGTTCTTGTAAGTGTTTAGGGTTAAGGACTTTTGGGGCTTAAGTTACCATCATAGAATTCTATATCGAATAATGGGGTTTCCTTACTCTGGTAACGTAAAACTCAGTTCCTTAAGAAGGGGGTCCTATAGTAAATAAGATGGCTTCTTTTCATTCTGGTAACTTCAACCCTAGACCCTACACCCGAAACCCTTAACCCTAAATCCGAAACCCTAATTCCTTAAGAAGAACTACTGTTGATGATGTAAATCCTGCATTACAGTTTAGGGTCTTCAAGGTAATGCTGGATTTATATCATCAACAGTATCAACTAATGGGGTTTCCTTGTTCCGGTAACTTAAAACACCGAAACTCTCTAAGAAGAGCCCAGGCAGGGGATGCGGCTCACCATGCCCCGGACCCTGAGGCGCATCGGGGCCTTTATATATACATATATGTATTTGTTTTGGGGGGGGGACCCTTAGGGTTTTGCAACTTTGGGTTTGGGTTTGGGCCGGTTTGGGGTTAAAGCTTTTTGGGTTTTCATAAGGTGTTTTGCGGTATAGGCATAAGTATGTTTGCCAGGCGTTCGGAAGTGTTCCGGTTGGAGCTCATGGGCTTGCAGGTTCGTGCGGCATCGCTGTAGGCAGAAGTAGCGTTCTCAGCGCCTCAAGTTGAAGCTAGAATGCTCAGGGTACTAAACAGTTGGAAGAGTGTCCCCTTATGTCCCATGCATTGGTACGAAAGACTGTCTCAAAGAGACTACCAGGTCCCTGTCTTACCGGTGAGCTCGGAGCACGGCCCTGACAAGCTGTCAGTGTTGCCCGCTTAGCCCCAAAGCCCACGAAGCTGGATCTCGTACCTTCAACCGCTCAACAGCACAAGTCCAAAGCTTGCGCGGGGAAAAGGCCCCGTCAGGTATAGCAAACTACGAAGATCAGCCCAAAGCCCGAAACTTGGTCATTGGTGCAGCTGGCAAAGAACATTGAACCCCTTACGTCGAAAACCCGGTAATAGAACCATGATGAAGCCCTCTTCGAATTATCAAGGCCCCTGCATTGAGGACCTGCAAAACTCTTGTGCCCTTTATTATGATTCTCGTTCTATACGGTTCTATACAGAACCCCGGTTTTGTAAGGCCCCTACACATAATCAAACCCTGGACCCTAAACCCCAGATCTCAGAATCAGAAGGCCCCGTTTCTAGGACCCAGAGTAGGCCCTTATTCCCTTTTTGTTAGGGTTTAGGTTCTCTTATAACCCCCTTCAAAACCCAAAAAGGGCACCCTTTCTTCTCCTAGGTTACTCTTGGGTCTAGGTTTACAAAGGCAGCAGCAGAGAGCAGTCGAACAGCGGCCGCTGGCGACGCGTGAGCAGGTCGGGATCAATCACTTGGCCTTTTGATAAGGGTTTTTTTAGGGTTTTTTTGCTGGTTTTACAGGGTTTTATAGGGTTTCATATTAAGAGGGTCTCTTTAGTGTTTTCATGAGGGTTTTATAGGGCTTTATGGGTCTTTTTAGTGGTTAATGCGGGTTTTATAGGGCTTGATTTAAAGGGTCTGCCTCTAAGGATTTTCGGTGTTTATAAGATTAGGAGGCAGGTCCTTTTTCTTATCCTAAAGTCCTAAAGCTTTTCATATTTATGGTGTACCGTGGTCTTGTAAGTACTACATAGGGAGCGATTGAACAATTAGCCTTCCATAAGGGTTGAGGGTTTAGGGTGTGGGTTACAGGGTCGGGTACACGATTACTCATGAACTAGGCAAGCCAGGCATTCCGGACCGTTGTTACGAGTGCATGCAATGTTCGTTTTTGACAGCATAAGCATCTACCTGCCTCCTGTACGCTGGACAGTTTGGCCAGGTGTTTGGAGCGTTGCGCGACTCTGCAAGCAAAGTGCGCCGGCAAATCAGAAGAGGAACTCAGTGCTTTGCGTTGGCAGTCGTGGGTTTTCGAGCATCCAGAGATGTGTACGGCTTTGTAAACTTTAAGCCATGTCGTGAGGCTCGATGTTTGTTGTACATCGAAGCCGGTTCTGTGAGGTGCCGTTTGGTCTCTTCAGCAGGGTCTTGATGATGCCGACGTAGTGAGACATCTGCCTACCTAACAGTTCAGCAATGGTATCGTGTAGAGCCGTCAGTCCTGGCGCAGAAGATACTCACAACAACAGCCACAAATCAGAAGTTGTATCCACGTCAACATGAACAAAATGATTCACAACGATGCTCGTACCCTTGTATGTATGTGCTTAACCATGCATGTGTACATGCATGCTTACATAGTTATGTGCCTATACATATAAGCAGCCGCCGCCCGCATGGACACCTTAACATCCCCGTCTTCCTTCGTTAGCAACACTATGCCCAAGCCAAAGGCATTACACTACCAAAACCTGAGCCCTAAACCCCGGAACCTTGACATATAAAGCCCAGACTCTTGAGCCCTTGAAGGCTTAACCCAATGCCAAAGACCTGAGACCCTGAGCCCTTGAACCCTAGACCCCGAAACGCCAGACCCACCATAGCTTAAGGGCTTTAAAGCCTGTCGACCTAAGACAGAATCCCTTTCACATCCAGATCCTACTCCCCTACAGCCATAAACCCTTGAATGCCTAGCCCCTGGACCTTGAGACCCTGAGCCCTTAGACCCTCGCCACCGAAGCTTAAGGGCGTTAAAGCCTGTCGCCCAGATCCTAATCCCCTAAACCCTAAACCTAATCCCCGAAAGCCTTAAAGCCTTCAGACCTAAACCCCTAAATCCCGAACCCAAAGCCCTGAACTCGAGCCCTTGATCACTATCCCTCCAACTCGTAAGCCCTGAACCCCGAAAGCCTTAAAACGTAGATCCTGAGAGTCTTACGGCTTTTGCCGCCCGAAATCTGAATCCCTAAAGCCTTATAGCCTTAAACACCTTTAACAAACCCGTAAGACCCTTAAAGACTGACATGCTTGAAATCTTTGAAGCCCTTAAAGCATCCTTTAGGCCTTTACCAACCCTCAGCCCTAGAGGTGCAGAATGGCAGTAACCTCAACGAGCTGCAGACGGTGGCTTTGCAGCCTTCCAGCTGCAGTAGACCAGCCCGAGGGATTTTAGAGACTTGAAGGGGTTCAGTTAAGAGGTCTTTACTGGGTCGATGAAGGGCTCTTGCAAAGGTTCCTGTCTAAGGGCACCGTTAAGAGTGTCATTACTTGAGTTTGTCTTGCGTGTGTGAGTGTCTGTTTTTGTTTTGGGTGTGTCTTGGGATTTGTATTCTTGCGGGTTCTGGTTTAAGAGTTGTCGGGCTCAGGGTTCCCATTCCTGCACGGGTTCTTTCAGGGCGTTTATAAGGTTACTAGGAGTTTGGAAGATTACGATTTCGGGTTGGGGGGTAAGGTTCCTAGAGAGGGCACCGTGAAGAAGGAATGTAATATGAAAGGGTTTTGGGGTCTCTGGGCTTAGGGCCTTGTAAGGCTTGTGTGAGTTCCTGTTCTGTTAGGATTCTAGAAGGCTTCGTAGAGAAGCTGAAGTTAGGGTTTCAAGTAGGGTTTGAGGACTTCAGGGGTTATGGGGTTGCATTTTCAGAACTCAGATATTTAACTTCTAGACCGCCCAACCCCAGAAATCCTTAAATCCTCGGTTCCTAAACCCATACACATTGGCCTTGGCTCTTGAGGGATACCGGTCCACTTAGGGCTCGCCCTGTTTAAGGGTTGGTGCTGAATCAATTCAATTGCTTCCATATATATATATATATATAGACACATACTGCGATACTTGCAGATATATACAAGCCGTATTTAAGGATTTCTGCTTCATTGGGGGCCTTGCCGGTTTATTTTTTAGATTCAGTGGTGCATTCGCGGGTTCGAAGGCGTGGGCTCCAGCGCCCCTTCTCCATGGTCCAGGCGCTGGCTTGAGAGTTCAGGTTTGCTGCATTGGGGTTTAGGAATAAGTCAGGGTTTAGGGGTTTAGTCAGGGTTTAGGGGTTCAGGGGTTTAAGGGTTTAGGGAGTTAGAATTGGGGTGTAAGGTTTCGGGGTTGAGGTTTAAGCAGACCCCGCTCATTTCACCATAAGGGGGCTGTAAACCTGGGGTCTATAGTCTTGGCTTAAGATTTAGGCCCAGGGGTTAGCAACACAAATCCGGAGTCTTGAAATGCTTATATACGGAAATCGTAAACATGCAAGCCTGGATTATGGGGATTCAGAGTTTTCGGCTTGAGATTTCCAAGGGGAAGATAAAGCAGCTCAGAGTTGAAGAGCCCCTTACTATGAAATTGGGCTCTTATTGAGAAATCAGACTTCAAACTACAACGACCGGGCTGTATCGTATGTCATAAACCATAAGTTAAAACGAAATCAATGAGAGGGCTCAGCAATGTGTTTTTCTTGCTATGGTAACTTGGTTCCGGCTGTTTAAGAAGACTGCAGAAACTAGGTGGCAATACAAAACGCTTGCAAAGTTAAATGAGAGTTTTATCCCATTATGGTCATCAGACTACTACAGCAATCCTGCGAAGGTTGCGGGCCCATTGCGAGATGCCAGACTCTCAAAGCTTTCAAAGCGTAATGCCGATGCCTTAAAGCCTTGAAATCCCAAAGCCCTAACGACCGTGGAAATAAATGCAGCACTGGGCTCTTGGATCAAACAAAGCCCAGAGACTCTCAAGACCTGTTCCGAGGGTCCTCCCGGAACTGGGAAGACCTCCTTCCTGGTGCACCTGAGCTGCGACATATTATAGCGACATATTATAGGTGCTTCAATAATTGCATATACTATTTTGGGGGTTCCTGATTATAATTGAAATATACTGGGCCCCAAAACCCTATTCTAATTATTACGGCCCCTATATGAAGGGGTGGCTTAGTATTTGGGGTCCTGCTTTTGCCTGTCGCCCTTCGATCCGCGAAGCTTAAAGCCGAATCTAATAGCCTGCGTCCGAAGCGGTTTAGGGCCTTAGGCTGTAGGGTTTGGGCGGTTTGTTTCTTTCGGTTTGGTGTTTAGGTTTTGGGGTGTAGGATTATGCATGGTTGCAGTGGCTGCCACAAGTCGCAGCCTGCAGGTGCCCAGTTACAATGACGGAAGGATCTCCAACAGAGCTTGAAATTGGAGAAGCCAATGGCGTCCTCATGGCGGTAGTTGCAGCAGTGGTGTTTGCGTGTTCAGAAGAGACAATGCAACAGCGATAGTTAAAGCTTATATTTCGCAGTGACACCCAATACTTGCGCTGTGCGAAAGAAGGACCAGGACTACTTAGAGGATCATGGGACTTAGTAAGTGGGGTTGTAAGTAAGGTAACTACACTTATAAGTACATATAACCTCAATTAGGTACTTATAACTCTTCTTACTAAGTCCCATGATCCTCCAAGTAGGCCATCCAACGGAATTCAGTAAACATCCGAAACCTCGCAGCCTCGATTCCTGAACCCAGGCAGTTCATCGTGGCTGCACTCTCAGTGCGCAGTCCATGGGCCAGACCAGATCTCGGCAGGATCCTGGCTTCTCGGCGCCCAAGCGTTCTTTTCTTTTTTTGTTTTCGCATTTTTGTCCTTTGTTCTGTAGATTGAGGGGGGAAATCAAGAATTAGGCGGGGCTGAACTTGTTCGTGGTTGTAGTTTCCTTGCGGAAATGCATGCTTGCAGCTGTGGCCCTGTTGGGCCTCTCGCTCAATCTATAGCAGGGTCTTGAGTTCATCGGTCCCTGGAAAAGAGACAAATCCAGATTGAGCTTGAGGTCCTACGTTGAGGACTTCTTGGTAGGACAGCGCTTAAACCTTGCTGTTCCCGTTGAAGAACACAACAGTACAAGTTTCCATAAGGAGGATCTACACTAAATGATGTGCTTTCCTTCTTTAAAGGAAAAAGTTTTAGGCTTCTTAAGCAGAGCCGGGTGCCGTCGTAGGCCCGTTAGACAGCCATCATCGGAGTGTCCTCGAGCAGGAGTCGTCCGAGGATTTCGAACAGCCACTACATCTCATGAACCTCAGGGCGGCATGTTTCTACATAGTCTATACTTGGGCCCCGGGGCCCTAAGAAGGGAACTGCTTTGAAAGCTAAAGTCTAGACTATGTGTGTGCACTGAGCCTTTGGGGAAGCTACGAGGTCTGTGCTCCTTCCAACCATGCAGCAGACCACATCTTGGATCGCTTGGTCCGAGATACGGAAGCTTGGTTCTTGTTAAGCAGGTTAGTTTAAGTTACCATAATTTAGGGCTCCTTTTAAGGGTTCCTTTAAGGGTTTAGGGCCCTTAACAACAACCCAGGAAGTTCCGGCCCACCTCATCACACGTGTCTACTCCCGCTTTATCGAGCGAGCGTATGGAAGCCAATACAAAGGCTGGGATGCGGGGAAGTGCTGTTTTGAGTTCCGTGCAGCGCACTAAATCCTCAACCCTAAACCCGAGAAGCAAAAGCTTGAAAGCCTCAACCTGGACCATAAACCCTGACCCCTAAACCTAAAGCCCAAACCCCAATAGCCTCGATTGCCCGAATCCTTGCTTTTCCCATAGGACACTCCGAACTTGGAGGATAGAGTTATAGGTACCTTAATTGGGGTTATGAGCAGTTATAACTGTAGTTACCTTACTTATAGCCCCAATAACTAAGTCCCATGATCCTTTATGAAGCCTCCTAAACCCTTATAGTACCCCTATAGATCCCTTAAAGGGACCCTTACACCCCCATTGCAAAGTCCCATGATCCTTTAAGAAGTGGAGGAGGCACCTCGCGGACGGAGCGTTCTTTTGAGATCCAGCCACATCTGGAGGAGCACGCTCTGCACTTCAAGGCGACGGGAAGGGGGGGTTAGGGTTAGGGTTTAATATAGGAACCTTAACAATTACCAATACTATTTGGGGTTCCTTATTATGATTATAGTATAATGGCCCCAAAACCTCGTTCTAATTGTTAAGGCCCCTGTGTTAGGGTGTTTGGGATAGAGTTTGAGATGTCAAGGCCTTGGGCTTTGTTTAGGCTTCGTGAGTTTGGGATTTAGAGCTGTTCCTGATTATAAGTATAGTATAACTGTATAATTAACGGGCCCCAAAACCCCATTCTAGTTATTAAGGCCCCTATGTTAGGGTGTGGGGATTGGGCTTAAGGTGTCAAGGCTTTGGGCTTCGTTTTGGGTTTCGTAAGTTTGGAATTTAGAGAGCTGACAGTTTCGGAGATTTCGTTTGTGGAGTACCCTAAACTAAACCCTGAACCCCTAAAAGAGGCCCAGCTAAGCTCAAAAGCTCCTAAGCCGTAAACCCCTTATGGAACCCTTGTGGAACCCGTATAGAACCCGAAACCCCAAACGATGACCAACCCCTAAACCACCAAAGCTTACCCCACTTTCATGAAGTTAGAGCCTCATAGAACGTGCAACCGATTAACAGAAATCGAACACCTCAACACCTGAACTCTAAGGCACTTATAGAGCCCCTACTAGAATCTGAAACCCCCAAACCTTATAGAGCCCCTAATAGAACCTGAAATTCCCAAACCCCCGGCCTTGTCACAGGTGAATGACACGAGCCAGCTCAGGCTGGCGCCCACGGCGGCTCAGAATCAGAAAGCTTACAACAAGGGCTACGAAGCCGCGGAGGCCGGGAGAGTCCAGAAATTGTGTACGTATGTACTTCAGCCTTCGAGTTCAGAGGTTGTTTTCATGTCTTAATCGGCTGTGTAGGCTGTATAAGGGGCATACCTCAACATGTTGAGGGTTTCATATTTGGATTGAAGGTATAAACGGCATATTCAAGGGCCCAGGAGGTAGCTTTGGCTCGAGTTCTGGTTTGAATAGTACACCACATGACTATATTTCTATAAAGGCACGATAAGAGAATACCATTGTATAGGGGGGTGCCTTCTTTAGGGGTTCTTATAGCAGGGATCCCATGCTTGACGTCTGTTCTGAAACTCCCATTTCGGGCTTCCTTGTTGCAGGGTTTTCGTGGCGAGCCTTTGCCTGCGCATCGTCCCTGCGATATAGGTATTGAAGTAGAGCCCAAAAATATCAGCAAAAGCAGAGGACCTCAGCCCTGAACCCGAAACACCACACCGAAGTCCAAGCTAGTATGATGAAGCCCCTGGTGCCCGCAAGCTGGCAAGAAAGTTCGTACACCCAAAAGCTAGAAGTGCATTAGTAGGCTGAGCCCTGATAGGACGGCTTAAGGATTCAAACTTACGGTCTCGGGTTTAGGGTTGAGGTTTCGGACTGGGCGAGCAAGCGCCCGACGGTTTAGTTGCAGGAGACGAAGGTATCACCGTAGGCCTCCTTTTGAAGTGGGATTGACGTCTTGAGGGTTTAGGCTTTGGGGTTTAGGGCGAAGCTCGAGAGGGGCCAGATGCACCCCAAGCCTTCAATACCCAACGCCCAAAAGCTGGACTCCTCCTCTGGCAGACACAAGCCTCCTATTGGGGATTATATATGGATTCCTATAGAGATCCATTCCCTCAGTCCCTACTAAGAACCAGACCGTTTTGGGACAGGTGAGAGTCTTGAATCAGAGCAAGATCGTCATTACCACCTGTGCGAATGCCTATCTCCACACGGCTCTGATGCAAGGGGACCCGCTTTCAGCGGAAGTGTTGAAGCCTGAAGCAAGCTGTACTTAAAGGATCATGGGACTTAGTAATTGGGGCTATAAGTAGGGTAACTCCACTTATATTTACTCATAACCCCAACTAAGGTACCTATAACCCTACTTACTAAGTCCCATGATCCTCCAAGTATGTCCTGTGTTGATTTTCCCAGAGTCTGTTCACCAGCGTGTCAAAATACTCGTCGCCGCAGCTTGCTGTCTTTCATAAGCATGGCGCTCCAACCAACCTGGGTAGTCTTCCAGTCAACATGCAGCTCCTGTTCGGCAGAGTTCAGAAACCAACGGTGGAAAAAAAGGACCAGGGTATCTAGATTGCCCCACATGTTGCTAAAAGAGTGCAAGCAGCGTGTGGCTTCAGAATGAAACTTGCCTTCAGCGAGACTTCCCTGCCGTGCAACCCAGAAAAACGACCGGATGTCGTCGTCAAGCCTATGCTGACCTCGTGTTTAAGACCAGCATTGGGGATCAGCAGCAAATCTTGCACAGAATCGTCACCATTGGATTCGCTGCAAAGCTGCGGAAAATGTTCTGTGTGCCTTCCTCCTACCCGACAGACTACAAACCTAAACCCTAAACCCCAAACCCAAAACCCTACCAAGTCTTGTTGGCCTGTCCTTGCCAGGATCCGCCGAGGATTATCTTATCCCTAAACCCTAAACCTTGAACCTTAAACCCCAAACCCTAGCAAGTCTTCTTGGCTTATCCTTGCCAGGATCCCCCGAGGATTATCCGGCCCGTTAAGTTCGACACCATCGTTGTGGACGAGGCAGCCCAGGCTCCTGAGCCCGACGCGGCCTGGGCTCTTGTTATTTAAGGGCTCCTTCAAGGGATCTGTATGGGTTCCTTTAAGGGATCTATATGAGTTCCTTTAATGGTTTAGGGTTTAAGGTTTAAGTTACCACAATAGGGATCTGTGGTAAATGATATGGCCTTTATCATGGTAACTTGAAAATTAAATTACTGAACAAGAGCCCAGGTGGTGCTGCCCTCCACCTGTGCCACGACCCGCGTGGTGGTGGTAGGCGGACTTTGCGCAGAGGGTTGAGGGCTGGGGTCCAACTGCAGCTTTAACTCTGAGAATCCCAAACCGACTTACCGACAATGCTGGTGCTAGTGAAGGGTGTCGGTGCTTCGAGCTGTTCCATCGCAGGTGACCATAAGCAGCTTGGCCCAGTGGTGCCGGAGCGAAATTTGTGTGCGCCTTACGTCAGCATCTTGGAGACGCCCTTCCTGGAGCGGATGCTCAAAAATCCGCGGCGATGGGAGGCGGCATGTTTCGTGCAGCGGTAGCAGTAGCAGCTGGAACTAGCCAGAGAGCAACTTGCATGGGTCTTGCCACAGCAGGGATTCAACACAGCATGGCATATCGTCACAGCACGCAGAGCACCAGTGACCCAGAGGACATGCTTGTTTGTGAGGCCAGCACGATGCTGAACATGCAGTACCGCATGCACCCGTCGATTCGAAGCTTCCCATCTTCGCAATTCTACGACTCGAAGCTCGAGGACAGTGTCTCTATCCCTCATCGTCCTGAGCTGCCTCTTGGTGGACATCCATAGTTTGGGCAGCGTTGAAAGCTCAGGAGGTTCAGCGAAGACTGGCCCCAACTAGCTTCATTCTAAGGAACCGCATTTGGCCACATGAGAGCGAGCACCGCCGGTTCATCGATTGCCACCTGGCCTCAATAATTACCTCTACTATTGTGGGGGTTCCTTATTATGATTGTAGTATAATGGGCCCCAAAACCCTATTCTAATCCTTAAGGCCCCTATATTAAAAGGGTTCCTTTAAAGGTACTATAGGGTTCTAGAACAGGGTTCCTTTAAAGGTTACTATAGGGCTCTATATTATGGTCCCCCTTACGAGGTACTACAGGGCCCCTATAGTAACCTGCAGGCCAGACTCCACAGTCGCTGGGCTTGTCTCCCGAGCTCAACCGTGCCTGCGACGCTGCCCTCATGGAGAACAAGACATCCCTCAAGAACGCTACTGAGCTGTGCTCCAAGGGGTCCTCGGGTTTAGGTTTAGTCTTAGAGGCTCAGGGGTTCAGGAGTTTAAAGTAAAAGCCAGAAAGTTGGAATATGATTATCCTAAACCCTTTATGGTAAATTATAGGGTATCCTACCCTGAAACCATATTCCAACTTTCTGGAGTTCCCTTTAGGGGTTTAGAGGTTCAGGGGTTTAAGGGTTTGGGATTGCATGTGCCCAAAATCCCCCTTAGGAATCGACTTGGGGGTTTCCAAAAATTAGGGGTACCTTCTTTGGGGCTCCTTGTAACAACGATCCTACTACTTAGGGTACTATAAGGGTTCCTTTAAAGGGTTACTATAAGGGTTTAGAGTTTCCGAAAATTAGGGGTACCCTATTTTGGGGTCCCCATAATAAGGATCATACTATTTAGGGTGCTATATTAGCGTCCCCTATTTTCGGAAGCTCCCACTTGGACCCAGGTCGGAGAGGCCAAGGCTTGTGTGGCGCTCTGCTCTCTCCTCCTGCAAGCCCGCTGTTCGGCGAAGGACATCGCCATCATCACGCCCTACCGAGCCTGGGTCCACCTAATACACCTTTTGTTTTGGGGTTTCCTTCCTTGAAAGGGCGCCCTGAGTGTATCATCAGTCCCTACCGAGCCTGATTAGCCTTCATCAGTACACCCCTTTATAAAATTGTTTTGGTCTGCTTTTGTGGAATAAGGGGTGCCGGTTTTTTCCAGGAATTATTGAGACACCCAGGGGCGCAACAGTACGAGATCCGGGGAAGACTCCAGCGAGACATCGGTGAAGGCAGAGCAGATCTTTTTGAAAGATGGCTTTACAAATGACGAGAATAACGGTTTTCACGACTACTATAACAAAAAATCTGATAACAGCATGTTGGCTCCAGCCGTGGTATCAATCCGAGTGGCTCCAGAGCTCGCGGTTTGGGTGCAGGGTGGGGGTGTTTGGGTCTGATAGGAGTTGGCTTTGTGAAAGGAAGTTCATGACTTCAGGCTAAATCCCGAAACCTTGAGGCTTCAGTTGCTTTTCTGGCGTTCATCATCGGAACTCCAAGCCAAAGCGAAACTTAAATATATATATATATATATATTATATTATATTATATTATATTATATTATATTATATTATATATATTGTGCTCACCGCAGGTTCCAAGAGCATCCTGGTCGGAACGGTGCACTCCTTGCAGGGTTCCGAGCGTGACTTCATCCTCATCAGCTTCTGTGCTCTTGTTAAGGAGCTTGTTTTAAGTTACCACAACAAAGAAACCATATCATTTACTAGAGCTTCCTCTTAAAATCTTATGGCCATTAGTTTAAGTTAGCAGAATCAAGACAACCATACTACCTACTATAGACCCCTCGTCTGGTAGCTTAAGTTAAGTTCCTTAACCCTATAAACCCTTATAGAACCCTTTAAGGAACCCTAAATTATGGTAACCTAAGTTAAGCCCCTTATTAACACGAGCCCAGGTTTCGTGCGCAGCGTCGCCGACGATATTCAGGACGTTGCTAAGCCCGTCCAGGCCGAACTGGCTCTCGGGAACAAGGGGGTCTGAACAGTTATAACAGGCTTCGGTTTAGGGTTTAGGGTTTAGGATTTAGGGATATGCTGTAGTAGAGTTGCATAGGGACTACAATAATCGTTCCAAACTCTATACTTCTTTTTTCCGAATTGGTTTCGTCAATTGCTCGAAGGACCCTTGGCCCTGAACATCCGGGGAGAAAAACCAGCGGGGTTAGGAGACTCCCGGCCGCCGAAGAGAGATGGGCCAGGGGTCCCCAGAGACTCCAAAACCCCGTAAATTACGGAATATCTTGAACTTCTATTAAGGGTCCCCTTGTAATTTAAAGTAATTTGAATATACTGAATTGCCTTATATTAAAGGTCACCTTTTTATTTAAGGTAACTTGAATGTGCGGAGTTACCTTAAATTAAGGGTCCCCGTGTACTTCGAGGTATAATCCTTCATAAAGGAGTTTTGGAGTCTTTTGGTCCCTGAGGCATAGCAAAGCTCGGAGCAAGCAGCCTAAACTCAACATGAGCTCTTGAGAACTTAAATGGGAGTTTCCGAAAATAGGAGATCCTAAAATAGCACCCTAAATAGCAGGATCCTTGTTATAAGGACCCCAAGATAAGGGACCCCTAATTTTTGGAAACTCCTAAATCCAAAGGCCTAACCGTAATCCCTGAACCAACTCGTTTAGGGTTTAGGGTTCAGGGACTTAGGGTTTAGGGTTTAGGGTTCAGGGATTTAGGGTACAGAGGTTTAGGGTTTAGGGGCATCCCTAAACGTAATCCTTGAACCCGAACCTGGGAGCTCTGAAAGGCAGCCAGAGCCCAGCAACACAGGGGTCTGTGCTTGGAGGGGCAGGGGACTTAGTAACTAGGTTTATAAGTAGGGTTATAATTGGGGTAACTCCATTTAGGGTACTTATAACTCTACTTATGACCTACTTACTAAGTCTCCTGCCCCTCCAAGTTCTGAAGCAGGAGATCAACATTATTCCGTAGGGCTCCGTGTTAAAGCTCTATTCCAAGGAGCCTGATCAAGTAGCAACACTGTTCCTGATGTTTCCTGATTATAAGTTATAACTGTAGAATAATCAATCCCTGGAAAGGGTTCAATTTCTACTGCAATCCCTGGAAAATGGCATATACAGGAGCCTGATCAAGTAGCAACGCTGTTCCTTATGTTTTCTGATTATAACTGTTGAGTAATCTATCCCAGATCTTTCAGTACACGCTGGGTAAGGAATGCACCTCTAGGATCAAAACTCCTATGAAAGTTTAAGACAACTATAGGGGCCTAAACCCCTACACCCTAAACTCCATATTAACTGAGATTGACCGATGTGGGGTCCCCGTAGCCAGAAGCACAAACGCTGAAAGGTACCGAAGCTATTATTATTACTACTACAATTACTATTATTATTATTATTACTATTATTATTATTACTATTACTACTACTAGTACTATTACTACGAAAGCCACAAGTCTCAAACATTGAGCCACCTCGCTCAAGATCCGAACGGGTAGATACTCTAAACCTTAAGCCACCACCCTAAACCCTAAACGCCCCCAATCCTAACCCTAAACCCTAGACCCTTATGCCAGGAATTTTCTGACACTCAAATTTCAATCCTCACCGCAGAGGCAGCCTCCTTGGGTGACTCGCTGGCCCTTCAGGAGACGGGGCTCTCGGAGGATCAGGGGACTGCTTCTTAGTTGGGGTTAGACGTAGTCATGTGGGAGTTTCCGAAGATAGGGGTACCTTATTTTGGGGATTCTTGGGGTCCTTATCATTGGGATCCTACTATTTAGGGTACTGTATTAGGGTCCCCTATTTGTCATAACTATGATTACATTGAAAAGAACGAATGCAAGAAGGAAAGAAAGAACTATGGAAGGAAGAAAAGCACGCCAGCAAGCCGGCCAGCCAGGAGCCAAGCATGCAAGCAAGAAAGACCTAACAACAGTAGGGACGAACTCTTGAAGTCAATCACAGAAGAAGTCAGGACACATGTAACGAATAAGCAATAATTACCAAAAACATTGCGAACGAACGAAGGAGTAACGAGCCAACGACAAGCAGCAGACAACAAGAAACGACATAACAAACCCCTCAACCCTTAACCGAACCTTACAGTCCCGGCTTTTGCCCCGCAGGAGATGCGCAAGACGAGCCTTGGCATCCTCTCGGACAGCATCTCGGAACGAGTGAGACAAGCCTTAGGGGTACTTAGAAATAATTTTAAATCTTTGGCTATTCTAATCCCTAAGAAACAGCTAAAATAATAAATGTTGCTAGAGTTCTAAGTTCGGTATAGAAGCTACTATAGGGGCTCTAATAATTACCTATACTATTTTGCAGGCTCCTTATTGTACCTCTGGTATAATGCTCCCCAAAACCCTTAAGCCCCCTACACTAACTCCATGGTCACCACCGCCGCTTCCTGATAGAGGGCACTTAAGAGCTGATATAGGCTTCCTTTAGGGTTTAGGCTTTTTCGGAAGTGTTTGAGCTCCATTGCTTGAAGAGTTCTTCCGCGAAGCTTGTTGGACACGGTGCAGTCGTCCCCCACGCAATTGAAGATTCTCGGGTTTAAGGACACAGGGATCTATAGATCTGCAGCGATGCGTTCCACACACTCCTAAATCCACCAACCTCCAGTACAATTATTATCAAGTCTGCTCTTGCTACTGTGATATTAGGTTGATTACTCACAGCTGCCAAAAGCTTTGCCCCCTGCGAGAGCCGGAACGCCAAGAAGTATTGAGCTTCAACAGACCTGAGCTTGCTCTGGACATCGGGGCCGATCCCCAAGCCGAAGTTGCTTTAGGTTTTAGGGTTTTAGGGTTTAAGGTTTAGGGGTATAGGCGTTTAGGGGCTCAGGGTATAGGGAGGATGATTGCCGAACGAATCGAATGAATAGAAAGCTTACCTCAAGACTAAAAGTCTTCAACAAGCCCTCAACCGCCCCTAGAAGAGGAAATGAAAGGGCCAGAATAAATCGGAATCGTAGGTCCCGGTATAGTAGTTCTAACACAAAGTTCCCCAAATCCTGTTGTAAGGATCAAGGCCCCGGTGCTATGAACGTGATAAAAACTTTGTAGACTCCTTTTAAAGCCCTTGCAGAGACCCTTCCAGGAACCCCATTCTCAATGTGGAGGCCCCTGTATTAAGCCAGAAGCTTTGAACCTCTACACCCTAAACCCCAAATTAAAAACCCTAAATCTTAAACCAGTCAACCCTGAACTATAAACCCTAAGTTCTACACACTAAACTCCTAAACCCTAAACTCCTAAACCCTAAACTCCTAATAGCAAAGTTAAGCCCGAAGCCTGAAACCCGCAAAAGGCCTCGATCCGATTTCCACCCCGAGCCCTGGACTTCGGACATGAGACTCAGGGCGGGTTTAGGGCTCAGGGGCTTAGGGCTTAGGGTTCATGTAGGGGTTTAGGGTTTAGGGTTTAGGGGTGTAGGGTTTAGGGTTCAAGGTGTACCTTAACCCGGAATAACCTACCTTTTTAATGGACGTATAGAAGGAGATCATAACAAGGAACTCTAAAAGGTAGGTTATTCAGGGTTAAGGTAGGGTTTAAGGCCCAGCATCTAGGAAAGGACTTTCTTTTTCTTTGAGTGTCCCTTTGCAGGCAAGCTGCTCAATGTGGCCCTGACCCGCGCGAAGTATGGTCTCGTCTGCATTGGCAACGCCGAGATCCTCAGCAATGGATCCAAGGACATGCTGCTTCAGTGCTTCGCAGTTTTGGATGAGAAAAAGATGCTTCCGTTCCTGGGCTCCGGGAGGGCTGCTCGGAAAATCGCTGGTGGCTACGTTTGATGATATAAACCCTGCATTACCTGATGGACCCTAAACTATGGGAATTATGGTATATTCCTTACCAGGGGTAACGCAGGATTTATATCATCAACCTGGCCGTTCCTCAATCAAAGGGGCTTGGACTTCAAGCAGGAAGCTCAACTCCCGATTAATTAGGAAACCCAGCGAAATGCTACCAGGACTTCCATGACCTGATCCACGACCTGAAGAGACGCAGATGCCTCATCAGCAGAGAGGCCTGTCAGTGTCAACTTTTCGGCATGCGAGCCATCCTATGTCGCACGCTGACACTTCTAGGATTGAGGCAAGGTGAAGCTGAAATTGCAAAGCTCGCCGCGCAGATCCCCTCTTGAAGTTTGCTTTGATTGCAAGCTCTCCGGACTCGCCTTCTTCGTAAAGAGATCCCGCACATGTGGAAAATTATGGTCCCTGGGTCCCTATTCTAGTACGGCACCTATTATTTAGAGTACCCAAAAAGGGACCTTAATTTTGATAACTACCCATGTGGTGGCTTGGAGCCCTGACCTGAGCCTCCAGGACTTCCTGCAGCACAGCCGGGCTCCGCAGCGCTGGGGCCGTCACCGCCTCCGGCGCAGCCTGAACGCGTAGTACGGGGGCCTTAATAATTAGAATGTGGTTCCTTTAAAGGGGCTTGTAAGCGTTACTATAAAGGACCTAATAAGGGTACTGTAATATGGGTAATGATTAAGGCCCCTATATGAGAGACCTTTTTCCCGGGTCGTGGAGCTTTTCGGTTCAGAAGAGCCCGTGCATAAGTATAAGTGAGCCCTACAGTTCAAGCCCATCAGCATGATGGCATGAAACTCAGCTCCACGGCCCCACCCTCCTAGCAGCGCGACCGTCGCTTCATTTAACATCGATTATTTGTTTAAGCTAGCCGCTTCCTACCTCGCACAACCGCGCATGAAGGTGACTAGATGCCGCTGGAAGGCACGAGGCGTGCCTTTGGGGAGTTCGCAAGATGCGGCGTCCTGCTCTCTTGGGGGTGACCCTCGCTGGGCCTTGCCGACCAGCTGGTCATTTCCATGCCGGAACAGAGGGTGGTCGCGTGAAACTTCCGCCTCGATCACAAAAAGATACCAAGTCACCAGTCCGGGCTAAGCCCAAGTCGGCCTTCTGCTATGCGGAATCATCATGCTCAGTGCAGGACTCTGCTGGCTTGTTGGGTGTCGTGACGCACAGGAGAAGGCGTAGGGCAATCGTGGTGCTGCAGTTGGCAGGAGGTTTGTGATATAGGCGCCGACACACGGGAAGCTGTACCTCCCACAGATGTCAGCCACTCAAACCAAGTCTTTCACCCCGTCCGCCCATTGGCATATCGTATCGCAGCTTTCATTTATTGTCTGGGAAGTTCATTAATTTGTATGTGTATATATGTATATATAAATAACTAGACAAATAAGTAAATAAATAAGTATACATATATATATATATATATATTTATTTATTTATTTATTAATTTATCTATTTATCTATTTATTTATTTATTTATTCATGTATTTACTTATTTATTCATTTATTCATAGTATATACACACACACTGCTCGAAGGATGTTAGTTGCTGTCTCGCAGAGCCATGGCGCGCCTTGCTTTCCCCATCGCGTGCTGCGTTCTGCCCTGGCCCCTCAGTTCCGAGCTGGAGGGTTCGGTTTAGGGTTTAGGGTTTAGGGTGTAGGGTTTACGGTGCAGGGTTTAGGGTTTAGGGTTCGGTTTAGGGTATACCTGTAGCTGGAAAGACCTACCTTTCTAGGGTTCCTGATCATGGTTTCTATATATAGTTCCTTAAAAAGGTAGGTCTTTTCGGCTACAGGTAGGGTTTAGGGTTAGGGTTAACGTTCTTGGAGGATCATGCGACTTAGTAAGTAGGGGCTAAAGGGCCCCTTTAAGGGATCTATTTTTATGTAATTTTAATTGTAGTTACCTTACTTATAGCCCCAGTTACTAAGTCCCATGATCCTTTAATTTAGGGCCTTAGCTACGGTTGACTCTTATGCTATACTAGGAGGACGACTTCCTTTCTTTGATTGTACGATGCCTATCTTACGGTCTTCATAAAGGATCATGGGACTTAGTAATTGGGGTTATAAATGAGGTAACTCCGGTTATAATTACTTATAACCCCAATTAAGGTACGTATAACCATACTTACCCCTATGTCTGGTTTGGGGTTCAGAGGTTCGCGGCTTCTCAGCACTTACCGTTGGTTAGTAGGGAATGGAAGAATGGTAGTAATAGTAGTTATAATTGTACCCGATTTTCTCCATTCCCTACTAACCAACGCTAAGAGCAGGGTCCCGGGTGGGAGCCAGCAGAAGTTCCGGAGAAGTATGGGATTTTGCATTCGATGCTTTCTGGCTCTGGAGGTTGTGAGACCTGAAGGGTGCAGGCTTGCAGGATAGGGTTGTAGGGTCTTGTAACTTAGGGGCTGTTCAAGCGAAAACACACCCACAGAATCCAGCATCAGCATGGCTTTACATTCAACACCCCTACACGTACCTAGGCCACCTGCCTTCGGCACTAAGTCGCAAAGATAAGCCTCGCATCTTAAGACTGCTACGTGGGCGCATTGCTGAAACAGCTTACTTGGAGGATCATGAGACTTAGTAAGTAGGGTCCTTAAGGGGTTCTATAAGACATCTATAAGAGTTTGCGGTTTGAGGATCACGGGACTTAGTACGTAGGGCTATAAGTACGAAGTCGCATGGTCCTTTAAGCAGACCCTAAACCCCAAACCCTTATAGTGCCCCTATAGATCCCTTAAAGGGACCAACAATCACTGCAGCAAAGGTTTCTCGAAGCTTGGTCCTACGCCAATCGGCAGCTGTCCCCGAAGCTTTAAAGTAGGGTCTTTTTAGGGTACTGTTTATAAGAGTTTCGTAATATTTGGGGAACCTAGAAAGGGACCCTAATTTAGAGACTCCAACTTCAAAACATTCAAAACCCCTCCCCGCCCGTACTTAAGGGTTCCTTGAAGGGTTCCAGAAGAGATCTAAAAGGGTCTAGGGTTTAAGGATCATGGGACTTAGTAAGTGGGGTTATAAGTAAAGCAGTTGCTTGCAGCTTCGTATCATGATATATAACCTCAATTAAGGTACTTATAACCCTAACCCTACTTACTAGGTCCCATGATCCTCCAAACATGAATTGATCCACAAGCTACAGTGCTCCCTGCTGTCATGATGCCCTCCCTACCTGTAACATTAAACCCCAAAAAACGCCAACCCTGTGTTTAGGGTTCAGGGATTTCAGAGCTTTCGGTAGCGACCTCCCCGCCCTGCCTTGCATGGCAGGTGGACATAGCAGAACCCCTCCTTTCGGCGCCCGAAGGCCCCCGAGGGTTTGGACGCACCGGGACAATAAGGGTGCCCTTTGTGGCCTACAGGGGCTTATAAGGGAACCTGAACCCTGAAAAAAAGGGAATAGGGGCCTGCCGCCTGAGCCCCAAATTAAACCTCCGGCACGTGAGATCGAGAGTTAGGACTTCGGATGAGCGTTTCACCCGAGAAGCTGCTCATGGTGAGATCTGAGCCTGTCCCACTCTCTTCTACTGATACTACTTACAGCCCAGAGGGTTTAGGGTTTCGGGTTTAGGGTTTAGGGTTTCGGGTTTAGGGTTTAGGGTCATATGGATTGTTCCGTCGACATATGAAAGTCTGCCACACAATTATTCGGAAGGTGCTCCTGCGGGTGGAAGGGTTCTTGAAGTTGTTGCCCACCGATGTTCATGTGGGAGTTTCCGAAAATTAAGGGTACCCTCTTTTGGGGTCCGTATAATAAGGGTCCTACCATTCAGGGTGCTATATTAGGGTCCCCCTATTTTCGGAAACTCCCATCTGTGTCAGGCCAGGGTCCGGATCAGAGCTTTCTGCAGCTACTACAGAGGCCTAAATAATCATCAGTACTATTTTGGGGGTTCCTTATTATCTTTCTAGTATAATGGGCCCCAGAACCCTATTCTAATTATTAAGGTTCCTAGATTACACAACCCTAATGGATCCCTTATAGTACGTCTTGTAGGCCCCTTTGAAGGAGCCGTGGTTCATTAATTAAGGCCGCTACTTGGAGGGGCAGGGGACTTAGTAAGTAGTTTATAAGTAGGGTTATAATTGGGGTAGCTCCATTCACGGTACTTGTAACTCTACTTATAACCTACTTACTAAGTCCCCTGCCCCTCCAAGTATAATGAAGTTCATATTATCGACCCCGAGCTCTGACCTGTGTCATCCCACAATGAAGACTGCATCGTCACGCGAAATCCCGAAAGGCAGTTTTCAAAGCCCCTGAACCTTAAACCCTAAACCCTAGCCCCAAGCCATCAAGGGCTTAGGAATACCATGCTCCAAGTATGTGTGGTATATCAGAGTATAACAAAATAGCACTTATTGTTTAGGTATTTAACAATATCAGTCTACAGGGTCTTGAACAGCCGTTGCGTGTTCTTCACAGCCCTATTGACCTATTGACGTGAGCTGATGCTGTTTAACCACATACACACGCAACGCTCACACAACCGCAAGCGCCGGAAACCCAACAGACGCGGGAAGGAGGTCGAGAAAAGGGGGCATAGCATGGCAATTTGAGAACCGACATAGTTGCTAGTCTCGATTGCACAGATTTCGCGCACTCCACTTGTACAGTGCGTATTACACTTGTTGCCCTACTTACTAAGTCCCCTGATCCTCCAAGTGGTCTCTAAATCTTGAACCCTTATGGCCCTTATAGTCCCCCTATAGATCCCGTAAAGGGGCCCACTCAACCCCCTACTTACTAAGCCCCCTGATCCTCCAACTGCGGGCGAATCATTGCGAGCTTCGAGCTTCGGCTTCGAGCTAGGCATGCGGACCTGCTATGCTGCTCTCGATTTAGGGTTTTTGGGTTTTGGGGTTTAGGGTTTTAGGGTTTAGGGTTTAGGGGTTTAGGGTTTAGGGTGCATCATCTCATATGATTTCCTCTGGGACACGGGAATGCTGTGCGAAGCG